ATGTATAATTTCATTTCAATTATGTTGAACATATTCTCATTTGATATTATGTGCGTTTTTCGGTGCATTTTACATGCATTTATTTTATGTTAAAGCTTATTGGAAATTAGTAAATGAAGTTATAAACTAACGTGATTTATATGCTTTAAGTACAAGAAAAATTATGATTAGATTTTACGTCAATTACTTTAGCTAGTCCACCCGTTGAAAAATTCATGATTCCGCTATTGCATCAGAGTAGAAGAACCGAGTTCTCTTGAAAGATGAGTTGGGATTTATTGTGGATGTTTGATATTCCAACGAAAACTAATGAATTTTTACATTCAATCCCTGGTATACTACCCTCCGTTTGGATCAAGAAATTGAAAATTACATAGAGTTCTAAAATGACGGAATTTAGATTTCCATTATTTCAGTTTCTTGCAATTGAAAATTTCAGTTTCTTGCAATTGAAAATTTCAGTGTTTGGATTTATGTATGTCGAATTTTGTAAATGAAACTATGGGAATTGTGAAATAACGCCTATTTTGATGGAAATTAAACTCGGAAATTTGATGACCATTCCACGATTTTTGCCTTGTGTCATTTAATAAATTATGTGCTTAAGTTAAACAAGGGAATTGTCAATTTCTCCTCTTAAATCCCCACTTTTAGTTAAATTCCGAGTTAAATCTAAGGTATTGTGAAGGAGGAAATGAAGGTAGATATGAATGATTTTTCATTTTGGGGGGATTAGGAGGGATTAATTATAAAGTGTTGCTATCCTTCAATTTTGTGGGGATTATAGAGATCTTTAGTTTTAAAACACAATATAGTTTACTAATTTGGAAGATAGGAATACAATTTCATCTAATTAGCATAAGGCCAAAGACCAAAATGTGGTACCTAATTTTACAAAAATATCATTAAAAAATATCAAAATTACACACAATGCCACTCCTTCAACCGCCACCATCGCCGGACGCACACCGTCACCATCGCCGGATGCCTGCCGCCAGCCAATTGCCACCGCCACCACCCATCGCCGGCATGCCACCGCCTACAGGGGACCAACTCCATTACCCTTTATTCACCTTTTAAAAAAAAGATTTTGTGTCATTGAAGGGACTTGATGTAAGACCCGTGTCTTGGAGAAACAAGAACAGTGAGCAATCCCACATCACTCGGGGAGGGAAAGGTGAAGTGCTTTAAATGTATGGGCACTTCTCTTCTTAGCACGAGGCCTTTTGGGAGCTCATTGGCTTCGGAGTCATAGGAACTCCGAAGTTAAGCGAGTTGGGGGCCAGAGCAATCCCAGGATGAGTGACCCACTGGGAAGTTGCTCGTGAGCTCCCAGAAACAAAACCGTGAGGGCAGAGAGGGGGGCCCAAAGCGGATAATATCGTGCTAGGGAGTCGGGTCGTGACACTTGAAACGTTGACCCTCAAAGGAGGAGGGCTCACTCACAAACCACTACACCAAACTTGATTTTGTAATATTTATTCAGTTATACAATATTTATATAAACAATCAACGGTTAAAAAAAAATCATTTCAACACATATTCACACAAAAACTGCAAATAAAAGCAGAAATTACAACAAAAATACAATGTAGATATCAATTATGTAAAAACAAAAACAAAAACAAAAATGAAAACATCAACAAAAATAAAAATTAATTTTTTAGAAGCAAAATGGAGGAATCAAGATGAAAGTACTAAAATGGAAACTGCGATGCAGAAACGGAAACTGCAATATAAAAATGGAAACTGCAATGCTGAGTTTGGGCAAAAATGCTCAGCTCTAGAGTTAAACAAAACAAAACAATATTTTTTTTATTCAAGACATGTTGGGAGAGGGAGAATCAGACTGAAGACCACCTATAATGTAAAATAGGTTATTCATGTTTCTATTTTCTGCATTGCAAGTTCCATTTTCTGTAATGTAGTTTCATTTCTGCAATGCAATTTCTGTTTTCTGCAATGCAGTTTCCATCTTCTCTTGCCCACCCAATTCCTCATCTGGGTAGCCTCTACTCTTTAAATTAGTGAGGTTGAAGGCCAAGGAAAGAGCAAAAATCCAATTGTAATTACCAAAACTACAATGTAGTTTGTGCAAAACTACAATGAGAACCAGTATAAAATTTCACTTAACTAAAGCTTAAATGGTATTGCAAAATATCATATGACAGTGATGACATAAACCATTTCCAAATCAAGACAAATGCATAGTAAGTGAGCTTTATAATAAGAAGTTGCTGCTAAATTAGATCATTGCTTGACCTCATTGAGGCATTTAATCGAACATGTGGTGGGTAATTTGTAAGGCTAATGTAGATCCACCCCTACTGAAAAATAAAGAAATATAATGCTGCAAGCAAAAACGAAAAATAGAGACATGGAGAAAAATAAATAAATTTAACCCACAAGATCATACCCCCCATACCAAATATTACGGACAAATACAATCAATCATACTCAAATCGAATATAAATCCACCCAAACTCCAAATCTAAGTCCCTTTCTTCTGAATAAAAACCTTCAAAATCTACTACAACCCCAAATTGTCCTAAACACTACCAATCATTCTCTAACCTCTTCTCCCTTAAACTAACAGTTTCCCTCTCCTTCAATTATTTTTTTATATATTTATTATTATTATTATTATTATTATTTTGCCAAGATCTGTCTTCTTCATTAATGGTTTGGCTTCCAACTTTATAAACCATCCAACCAAAATTCGATTTGAACCAACTCATATTGTAATATGTAACAAGAGACTTGATGAGAGAAGAAATTTTGATACAGTAAATGGTAAAGTAATAAATTCTCTCAACAATTCGAACCCAAAGGATTCTCATTTTAATGGGTTCCTTGATTGGTGGGACGATCTCAAATTTCATGATTCACATTCTAATTTCCATTTTTGTTTTCACATTAGTCAAATTTTATCATTATTTTTTTGTATTTATATATATATGCTTGTGATTCTAAACTAATATTAGAAGGCTTAAATGTCGAAATGGTCCCTGTGTTTTACCTTATCGGCCAATTTAGTCCCCGTGTTATTAATTTGCCCAATTTATTAGTCCCTGTGTTTGTATCTGTTAACAAATTTGATCCTTTCTGTCAAAATTATGTTAAAACCTAAAAAAAGGACATTTAAAATTAATTTAAAATATGTAATTAATTATAAAGATTTAAACTCAAATAATAATAATGCTAAAATGATTAAAACCCACACAACCTCAACCTCCAATGGTCTCAATTCCTGTAGGAAAAAAAAAGGTTCTTAGTCAAATTGATGCCTCCTCTTTTCTTGCTGCAATTTTTCTTCTCTCTTATGTTTTAGATATTCTCATACTCTACCCTTCATCTCTCTCTCCTCTTCGATCCATTGCCCTGAATGTCGTCAACTTTTGCTGCAGCGAGGATGATCATTGGCGGTAGAGCCATCAAGGTTACGGTGACCGGCTATGAAGATCTTCGTGATTTGTCAGAGAGGAGGCCGAGAGAGAGAGAGAGAGAGAGAGAGAGAGAGAGAGAGAGAGAGAGAGTTTAGGTGGGATTGGAATGGTGGTGAGGGCGGCTATGGGTTTGGGGTTAGAGTGGTGGTGGTGAGGGTGGCTGGGTTAGGGAGGTGGTTGAGTGTGCGCATGAAATTGGGGAAGGTGAAATTTTTTTTTAAAAAAATTCCATTTTCAAATTGAATTAAAAAATTTATAATCAATTACAGTTTTTTAAATTAATTTTAAATATTTTATATTTTATATTTTTAAGGGAATGGACCACATTGACTAACATATACAAACATAAGGACCAAATTGGCCAAATTGATAACACAGGGACTAAATTGGCCTATGAGATAAAAACACAGGGACCATTTTAACATTTAAGCCATATTAGAATAATATAAGAACAAATGACGATATTTGGTTTATGTGTTTGAAAATCCAAATAATTAAATACACAAAATCAAGTCACAAACCCTAAACCAACCTCTGAACGAAGTTAACCAAAAATAAAAAAATAAAAAAATATCGCAATCACTAAAGAAATATCACTCGAAGAAATGAGAACAAGGAAAAAGAAAGGTCCTAGAACTTCACCCTTATTATTTCTGCCAACTACAGACAAACCTTTTAAAAGTTGAAATTAGTTAAGAGACAAATAAAGCAATAACCAAATGGGAGAGTTACCTTTGCAGAGAAAATAGATCTCAGAAAAGAAAAAAAAAAATTGGTAGGTTGCCATTAGAAAGAAAAAAAAAACAGAAGAGAAAAAGAGGTTAGAAGATAAGGGAATGGAAAATAGGGATAAGCTCTATAAAGGAAAAATCGATTAGAGCCCTCAAAAGAAAAGTAACCAACGATGAGAGAAGAAAAAAAAATCATATGTTGGCTTTCAGTTTCAGAGATGGACGAGAGAGAAGATGAGCAAAGTGATAAACTAGGGCTTGTTTGGTGCAATTGGATTAGATAGGATAACTCCCTATATTTAAAGTATGTTTAAGGAAGAAATGAAATTTTTTTGACCAAGTTGAAAACAGAAGATGGTTACTCATGAAGAAAACTTATTCTATATCTAATCCCCACAAAATAGTAGGATAACAATACCTTATAACTTATCCCTCCTAATCCATCAAAATGGAAAATCATTCACCGTCATTTCCTCCTTCAACACACCTTAGATTTAGTGGCTTATTCAATCCGATCCAAATCCTAGGCACCAAACAAGTACATAGGGTTGGAATTAAAACTAGTAAAAAAAAAGTTTATGGATTTAAGTTTTAAAATATTGACAGCTGTTGGATCTAATTTAATATAATCATATGGTTGAGATGAATTTGTTACTCACACGACCTCATCTTTAGGTCCTTAAATGAGCGGGACTGTTAAAGTCCCTTAGGTTATCACAAAAACAGGGTCAAGTACGTTTTCGTTTTCTATACAAACCAGAACCCCTACACCTATCCGAATATTTCGGTCTCTATATATGTATGAATATAATATGATTGACCAACCTATCTCATACGTTCACGCCCTCTCATTCTTCAACCCCTCCCAGTTTCTCCCATATCAATTAATGGCTTCAAACGGTGAAGGACCAGCAATTGGCATTGACCTTGGAACCGCGTACTCATGCGTTGGAGTTTGGCAAGACGGCCATGTTGAGATTATATCCAATGATCAGGGCAACAGGATGACGCCGTCCTACGTGGCTTTTACAGACGCAGACTGTTTGATCGGCGATGCTGCCAAGAACCAGGTCACCATCAACCCCATCAACACTGTTTTCGGTGAGTTCTCACACCCTATCACCTATACTTAGGAAATTATTATTGACGCTCCAAAAAAGTCATTATGAGAGAAATTGCACCCTATGATGAAGAAATTGATGAACATTTCAGAATGTCAACAACTATGACAGTTGAAATTAATAAGATTAGTATACTCATTTATCATTGATTCTATTGTTGATTGCATCTCTAACAAGTGTGTGTGATTCGAGAAAATATATAATTTAAAGTTTTAACGACTGTGGGAGTGCTTAATTAATTAGTTTTTGTTGATCTAGTTTATACATATATGCTTTGGTATGTATATATCCAACCAAATTTATTTCTAATGTGCTTTCATTAATTTGGGTTGAGCTAGATGCAAAGCGTTTGATTGGTAGGAGATTCACTGATGCCTCTGTTCAAAGTGACATGAAGTTATGGCCTTTCAAGGTCATTCCTTGCGCCGGGCGAAACAAGCCAATGGTTGTGGTGAACTACAAGGGTGAAGAGAAGCAGTTTGGTGCTGAGGAGATATCGGCTATGGTTCTCACAAAGATGCGGCAAACAGCAGAGGCTTACCTTGGCTCAACTGTAAAGAATGCTGTTATCACCGTCCCGGCATACTTCAGTGACTCTCAACGCCAGGCCACAAAGGCTGCCGGTGTGATTGCCGGCATGAATGTTATGCGTATCATTAACGAGCCAACTGCCGCCGCCATTGCGTACGGTCTTAACCAGAAAGCCTCAAGTGCTGCCGGTGACAAGATCAACGCCCTCATCTTTGATCTTGGTGGTGGTACTTTTGATGTTTCCCTTGTCACAATTGAAGAGGGTACTTTTGAGGTCAAAGCTACTTCTGGAGACACCCACCTAGGAGGTGAAGATTTTGACAACAGAATGATGAGCCATTTTGTGGAGGAGTTGAAGATCAAACACAAAAAGGACTTGAGCAATGACCCCAGAGCATTGAGGAGATTGAGGACATGTTGTGAGAGAGCAAAGAGGACTCTTTCTTGCACAACTACTCAAACCACCACCATTGAGATTGACTCTCTATTTGAGGGCATTGACTTTTGCTCCACAATAACTAGAGAAAAATTTGAGGAGCTCAACATGGACCTCTTCACAAAGTGCATGGACATTGTGGACAAGTGTTTGATGGATGCTAAAGTGGAGGACAAGAGCACTGTCCATGATGTTGTTCTTGTTGGAGGTTCTACTAGAATTCCCAAGGTACAACAGCTATTGCAGGATTTGTTTGATGGCAAGGAGCTTTGCAAGAGCATCAATCCTGATGAAGCAGTTGCGTATGGCGCCGCGGTACAAGCTGCCATTTTGGGCGATCAGAACCGCCTGGACTTAGTCTTGCATGATGTTGCCCCAATTTCCCTTGGATTTTATAGTTTCCAAAGAGTTATGGATGTCTTTATTCCGAGAAACACTAGAATTCCCACCAACAAGGAAGTGCTTGTGTCAACCTTCATGGATAACCAACCTTGCGTGTATACTCAGGTATTTGAGGGTGAAAATCCAAGGCCAGCAAGAAACAACGTGTTGGGTAAATTTGGGATCTCAGGCATCCCTCCTGCTCCCCAGTGGGTGCCTCAGGTCACCATCTGCTATGATATCGACGCCGACGGAATTTTCAATGTCCATGCGGTTGCTGAGGACAAAACCACTGGGCGGAAGAACATACTCACAATCAACAATTATGAGAGATTATCCCAGGAGGAAATTGAGACTATTGCTGCGGATAAGGAGCATAATAAATTATATGAGGCTAGCGGTTATGCACAGCTCGATCGTTTATTACTCTCTATTTAGCTAAGTTTTGGTCCAATAGATATAGTTATTATGTTTTTTTAGTTAATTAATCTTGATCAAGTGGCTAGATGCTACAAAATTATTCTCTATTTATTTAGCTATAGTCCGGTTATGATTTTTTTTTCTTGAGTTCTATCACAAAACCCCTTGCAAAATTTGGTCATTTATGGTTTCTTAGCTAGATTGAGTATTAGAGAATTATTCTAATTTCCAACTTCATCTGCGTTTGCTAATACATAATAAGTAATTTCAAAATATGCGAGAAACCATAACACCCAAATGACACTTTGGTAGTGTGTGTAAGAAACCACTCTCCCCCTTGTAGTCTTGTGTTTGGAAAAAAGTAATTGAAAAAGGGAGTTTTTCGAATAAGGATTTTTGTGAAAAATTACTTAGAGAGTTCTCAGCAATCCATTAGATATGTTAGTGGCTTAAATAATTTTAAGAAAATATACCACATATGCAATCTAATTGCTAAGATTAGAAGTCCTTAACTTAAAATCTTTAATGGAGCCAAATCATTGAGGGATACGTGAATTCCAAATCTATAGAATAACCTCCTCCATATTTTTCAGAGAAAGAACTGGTTCCCCTTTTACACTGTCAAACACGTTCGAATGGAAGAATGAATTCATAAGGCACTCAGTTGCACAAAATAATTTTAAGAAAATATACCACATCATACAATTTGTTTGCTTCCCATTTGTTTAATTTGGTTTGTTAAACAAAATATTCAAAAGCAATCAGTTGCAGAATCTCATTCGAATGGAAGAATGAATTCATAAGGCCCAAAACAATCTGTGGCAGGTCCAATGAACAAAAAAAATCTGCAAAGTCCATGAACGTCCTAACCACGCGGTGTACCCGGAATATATACAAATTTCTCTAGCTAAAGACCCTTAAATCTTCTTAATTGAAGTAGCAACCAACTAGCCAACTACCCATAAATTCACAATAAAATTTGGACTCTAATTTCTCTCATATTATAAGAAGAAAAAGTAAAGAAGCAAAGAACCATACCCAAACAACTTGTCTGAATTATTTTTTTCTGCATTTTTTACGAACAATGCATGCATGAAGGTGCAACATTAAAAGTCCATGATACGTTGCCATACCGTAAGGTAGAAAAAAATCTCGTTAGTAGCAATATATCTTTGCCCTGAGATAATAAAAATGCAGAGCAGGGCCAAATGCCAATTCTGAAACTAAGAGAATCCAATAACTTTTTTTTTTGAAGCATGGGTGACACATGGATTGCATGTGAATGAGATAGAAGAAGAATACAGCAACAGCATTTATATTTTTGATGGTCAAATTCAAGAAATTATCTGTTGGCTCCACATAAATTTAATGGCTCAAATGTTGGGTCCATGTTATTAAAACTCTTCAATCAGATGACCTCTGTTTTCTTTTCTTTTCCTTTTTCTGGGCTCTTCAAACGTCTTGCTACTCAATCACTTCGGTGCTGGAGCGCTAGCGAGAAACACCTCCTTGCTTTTTAGCTCCATGAAATTAAATTAGACCCAAGACACAAGCAGTAGCCACCAGTGGAGCGACCTGTTGGCTCCACATAAATTTAATGGCTCAAATGTTGGGTCCATGTTATTAAAACTCTTCAATCAGATGACCTCTGTTTTCTTTTCTTTTCCTTTTTCTGGGCTCTTCAAACGTCTTGCTACTCAATCACTTCGGTGATGGAGCGCTAGCGAGAAACACCTCCTTGCTTTTTAGCTCCATGAAATTAAATTAGACCCAAGACACAAGCAGTAGCCACCAGTGGAGCGACAATCATCAGGATCACCGGCATAGTCCGCATGAGAATAAGCCATTAAAGACAGGGAAACAGGTTTATAGAGATGAGATCTGATAAACAGCACAGAAAATAGATCAGTGCTTCATGTAGCTCTTCATGCTCCAAGGGGTGCTGTCTTGTCTACTATTTAGTGTGAGTTTCCTTGTGAAAGTGATTAAGCTTTCTTTGGAATAAACTTTGGGTAGTGTTCTCTGGTTTGATTACATTTTGCAAATCCAGAGGCTATCGAAACAGCAAGGGGAAGGCAACTGCATTTGTAAGTACTTACATATCAATTTTTAAGTGATTATTTTCCAGTTCTCTATATCAATGAATTAAGAGCCGTTAAGATGCTAAATGTAAGTACTTACTGCTGTCAAACATTGTGGATTAGCTTTCTACTAGCTCCTTCATTTTAGGACCTACCTGATTGAAACAATGAGATTGTCTGTGTTCATGAGTTTATTTCAGTGGCATAGTTCTTGAAGGAGGGATGCATTCTGTTAAAGATATGTAGGGAAGTATTTTGTATTTGATACAGCACATAGGATTTTTGGACATGGCATGCTTTTGCTTATGCTTTCAAATTTTCTTTGTGTTTTTATTTTTGAAAGCAATCTGTATTCTGTGTGTGTGGTTGTAGTTGTGGTGGTTGAAGAAACATAGCTCATATTCAGAGACTATGTTAGATGCATTCTCTGTGTATACTGTTTAAATATATTATTTAAGCCGTATAGCCGAGCGGCTATGCTCTTTAAATATATTATTTAAGACGTACAGCCGCCCATCTATACCTTTAAAATATATTATTTAAGGCGTATAGCCGCGTGGCTATACTATTTATCTATATCTATATATATAAAGCAAAAGGCAGAGAATGGTGACACATTCAAAATACCAGAAAATGCCCTTGGTTAATGCAAACATTAAGAATTGAAATTATTAATTAAATGAGGATAATATGGTAAATTCACACTTTTTCATATTTAAAAAAATTAAAATTAAAAGAAAAATCAGATAATGG